AAGGAAAAAGGGCAAGGCAGATCGGTGATGTTCAGGGGGGTTGTTTGGGTGGTTTAATTGATGGAAAAGATAGGAGAATGATATGTCTTGGCTGGTGACAGCCGTTGGTTCTCTTTCTTCTTTCGCAAGTGATCAAGAAAAATGGGAAAGATGGTGTTGTTGGATTAGGTGTCTAAGCCCATAACTATAATTGGTATGTACTTGACCCGATAGTAACATGGTCAATTTCAGATTGCATATCACCAGGACAATTTGATAGGATGGATACTTGAGTAAGAGGTTACTTATGATTTATTAATATATTATAAGCTCTAAATATTAATATGAAATCATATTATTTAATTAGTATTGATCAAGAATTAATTTCGAATTAATTATGTGATCAAAAGAGAATAATTAAATATATGGGGATTGATTTGGTAAATCAATGATTCTTATAGTGTGGGCCAATTGTTATTTAGGATGGGCTAAACCAATATGGTAGTCCATGGAGGTTTAACCCATGGAGCCTAAGTAATATGAAAGGTCATCGGAATTAGGGTTTTCATGGATGTAACCCTAGACTTTCCCACACTATAAAAGGACTCCCTTAGCACCCAAAATCGCACACTAGAGTTCTTGGAGTTCATTAGAGCCAATTTTGGAGCTAGCAACACCTCTCTTAAGTTCTCCTTTGTCCTAGGTGTGTTGTGCACCGTTTGAGGCATCACACTTGGGGTGCTCAGATCTTAAAGGCCAAATACAACAAGTTCTACAAGCTACATAAAGAGGTAAACTCCTAATTAGTATTTTATGTTGTTTATGTCAACTCCATGCTAGTTGTAGGCTTAATGATTTGGAAACAATATTGCATGTATAATTAGAGAAAACATAGATCCAAAGCATTTAGGGTTGTATGTGCACCACAGGATGTTGTAGTACAAAACCCATTCAGTGTTCACTTATAATATTATAGAATATAAGGGTTGAATTTTCATATTTAAAATTCTAGGGGTTGGAACTAAAGTTTTAATTATGACTTTACATGTTCCAAAACATGAGGGAAATTTTTGTAAACTTTCAAAACTTTTCAGTTCTCATAACTTATGAGTTTATCAGAGTATTAAAATGAAGACTCTTCATTTTCATAACTCTTGTGTTCTTTTAATGGTTTTAATTCAAGTGTGACTCTTGGTTTCTCCATAACTTGAGGACAAGTTATGGACTCCATTAAAACACATACTGATCAAGAATTAACTAACATGAAGGTTACAAATAATTCCTATGATCATCTAAATTCATAAGTTCAAGAACATTATTATCAAGAATTTCAAGAATCATAACAAACTTATATAACAATTGTATTTTTTGATAATAGCCATTGTAAATGGATTAGTTTAAACATTACACCAACTAAAACAAGTTTTAAAACACCAAAACAATTTAAGGTAATGTTTCTAGTCCATTTCCAGCAGCATAACTCGAAAATCTGAACACTGCAGCATGTACTCGTCGAGTGCATGAACTGACTCGACGAGTTGCACGCATTTCTTCGTGGACTCGTCGAGTCTCCCCTTGGACTCGGCGAGTTTATGCGGTCAGTGAACAAAAAACTGCGTTTTTCAGCTATTTTGCATCAAGTGTCAAACAAACAAGCCTAGGCTCTGATACCACTGTTGGGTTTTGAGCATTCTAACACTCCTATGGTGTACATGCAACCCTAGAAACCTCAGATCTATGTTTGACTAAGATACATGCAAAATGATTTCCATGGTTCATAATCCTATCTAGCATACATGAGGATCTTTTATTTGAATAGTTAGTAAGAATTATATACCTCTTTGTAGCTTGGATTCCTTTAAAACCTTGTGAGCCTAGCACCTCAAGTGTGATGCCTCAAATGCTTCACACAACACCAAGTACACTTGGAATAAAGTCTTAAGAGAATAAGAACACTTAGTATTTTCGGCTAGCCCTCTTTTATTCACTCTAGTGGCCGAAAATGATGAAGAATAGCTTCTTTATATAGTATGTTACAATTAGGGTTACACCATGTAAACCCTAATTGTCATGACCTTTCATTTCCATGACCCATGGGTTATGTAACCCCCATGGAGCATCCATGGAGCATCTTATGGGTTTAATCCAACTTGATAATCCATGGAGCCTTGGCCCACTATATAAGTTATGGATGATTGAAACAATCAACCCATATATTTAATTAGTCTTCTTTTGATCACATAATTAATTCTAAATTAATTATTGATCAATACTAACTAAATATTATTATTATTCTTCTTATTAATATATTAGAACTTATAATATATTAATAAACTATAAGTGTCTTATTTCTCTCATTTAGTCTATCCAAGTGCATGATGCCATGCAACCCAAATGGACCATGCCGGGTCGGGTCAAGTACACACCAAATATAGTTATGGAGTTAGACACTATATCCAATAGTGTCCCACTTGGACAAGTCTAATAACTATAGTTTCAAGTATGACTTCAGGAACCGATCAGCAATCGTAGCTCTTTCAAGGTCTCTCGGAACTGAGAAAATGATGGTGTGCCATTTTAGATAAGTGATCATATAATCCTCTGTTCTAGATATCAGCCGGACAAACACATGGAACAATGTCTTTCTATTGTCTAGCAGTTGTTTCCTGATTTCCGATTTGTTTGACATAGAAATTAATTGAACACATCAATTCAGTTCTGACTGGGCCCGGTACATGGGTCAAAACAAAATCATCGTGGGGCCCAAATATCGCTTCTAATCCAAGAAGGAACAGATAAACGTTGACTCATATGTTTGCTCTACTACTTGTTGAATTACACACAAAGGTACGTTTTATAACATCGAGTTACTAATGTGTTTTCGTACAATCAATGCATAACCACATCATAGGTAACAAATCATATGTCTAGGTTTGAAGACTTATATGATATTACCGTCTCACGATCACTCGAGATAAATTCCATGAAGTGATACTAGTGAGCATGGGTTGAATCCAATATTGAGAACTTATGAGCACTCATGAGTGTTGTAGCCCCCTTTGTCCAACATCTTGGACCTCTACAAACCAACCCATGACAGTATTGATTTATATGTACTTTCAACATATGATTGACTGTGGAGAATTTGAATAATATGATATATATATCATAACATAATTATTCTAGAAGTCAAAACATGCAAAAAGAAATACTAGTAAATGATTGACAAGAGATAGTAACACTTTACTCATAAATAACAGCTTTTATTTATCATCAAATGTCAATTACATTTTACATATTTCAAAAATTATCTAACTTCTAAAACTAATATCATCTCTTAGCCCTATGCTCCTAGCATGCTGAAGATGCTTAACCCTATTCAGTCCCTTCGTGAGGGGATCTATCGGGTTCTCATCTGATGATACCCTCTTTGCCACGAGAATTCCTTCTTCTATTCGATGTCTGATGAAATGATATTTTCTATCGATGTGCCTGGATCTCCCGTGATCCCTTGGTTCCTTTGCTAAGGCAACTGCACTTTCACTATCACATAAAATTTCCATAGGCTCCTTAATAGCTGGTACAACTCCAAGGTCTCCAATGAAGTTCCTTAGCCATATAGCCTCCTTTGCTGCTTCACTTGCTGCTATATATTGTGATTCACAAGTGGAATCAGCCACTGTATCTTGCTTGGAACTTTTCCAAGTAATTGCCCCTCCATTTAGGGTAAAGACGCAGCCTGACTAAGAGTGGAAATTATCCCCATCAGTCTGAAAGCTAGCCTCACTATACCCTGCTACTTTCAAGTCATCACTCCCACCAAGGTTAAGGACCCAGTCCTTAGTCCTTTGCAGGTACTTGAGAATATTCTTTACTGCAGTCCAGTGAGCCTTGCTAGGTTTACTCTAATATCTGCTAACCATGCTTAAAGCAAAAGCAACATCAGCACGAGTACAAGTCATAGCATACATGATCGAGCCTACAACGGAAGCATATGGGACTCTACTCATCTCAGCTATCTCTTCATCTGTACCTGGGCACTGAGTTTTACTCAGTCTGGCATTACACTAAATAGGTAAATCTCCTTTTCTTGGAATTGTCCATACTGAACCTCTTCAGCACTTTATCCTATGAGCAGTATGTCAGCCACATATAGTACCAAAAGCTAACTATACTCCCACTAGCCTTGACATATATATAAGATTCATCTTCACATATCGAAAAGCCAAACTCTTTGACTTTCTCATCGAAGCAAAGATTCCATCTGCGAGCACTACAAGAAAAAAGCCCTTTAATGACGCGCAAACAATGACACTCGCTGATAGAGGATGCGCATTTGTAAGTGCCCTAAAAAATACTGTCAGTTTTGCAAAATTTGAAGGATAGAGGGTACGCATTTGTGCGCGCCCTAAAATTGGTGATAGAAAAGAAAAATAAATAAATGCGGAGGGCGCCTTTCATAAATTGTGCGTCATGTAAGTGTGTCGCTTTATAATTTTTAAGTGAAACACGCGTTTTAGGAGGGAAATGAAATCGACTAAAATTACTGGCGCCTATTGTATCCCAAAAATTAATCCCCCGCCTCTTCTACTTAGCAAGAAAAAGCCCTAGGTCCTTCATCTTCATCTTCAGCGGTGGGAATACCTAGGTCGATTATTCAGGGTTCAACAACAGATTTGTAAACAACAATCGTATACGATTCTGGATCTCGGCATGATTATGGCGCTTTGGAGCCGACGACGTGAACATCATTCATGAGAAAAGTTCATACAAAATTCAAGAATTTCAATGGTTTTGATTATTGAGTGGGGTACAGGGAGGTGTAATCATTTTGGAATCTTTACTAATTGAGTTGAAATTGAACCCGAAAAACTCAATCCACACTTCGAACATCTCTGATTCTTTCTTCTTTCGCTCCCCAATCTCCTTGGCGGCGCTCTTTCCATTTCCATTTCCAACCTCAAACCACCGTTAAATGGAACCCAACAATTCAATCAATCAAATCGGCAATCACATCGACGATGATGGTGATCAAAATTCATTTCCAAGCCACCGTTATCAGATCATCACCTATTCAAGAAAGAGAAAACACTCTCAATCTTAGGTAATCACACTAATCGATTCAACACAAGTAAACCCTCTTTCGGAATCATCAGTTCTAGGGCTTGTTCTCCTTGCTCATACGTTCTCATACGATATTCAAAACCTCACTAAGTCTCTCCTTCTCGAAATCCTCGCAAGATTGCCCCTGAAATCAATTTTTAGGTTCAAATGTGTTTGCAAACACTAGCTAGATTTAATTTCTCAGCCTTCATTTTCCTGTTTCTATTGCTCGCATATGCTCACAGCCAGCGCATCGTCATCATCCTTACCTCAAAATTCTCGATCCTTTGCTCTTTCAAAAAAAGTAAGCAAGTATTTTTGTATGTTCTTGTGGTCTCTTTACTTTATGCTTGTATTGATAATATTGAACATATGTTTTGAGAATAGAATATTAAACCCTAGATTCTGGAAACTTGCAGAAAAGGAAGGAGATGAGTTATGCACTCCAAGTGTTCGAAGAAATGCTTAAAAGAAGAATCTTACCTAATTCATACCTTATAACATTACCTGATATACACAAGACCAAGTGATATGGTACCTAATCACACCTTGCACTCGAATGCATACAGGGCAAGCTTGTATTTATTCTTTTTCTTAATTTGTTGGAGATGGTAACTAAGGATCGTTCTTGTGAACATTCCTTCTTTTCAGGCTGTAGATTATCACAACTAAGAAATAGTTAAACTAAATTTTGTTAGGTGAAACTAGGTATGTTCTTAAATTTCTTTTTTATAAACTTGGTTACATTGGTTGATCTGGTTTTTTTTCATGATCTTATCTAATTTGTGCTCTTGTAGTGCCCATGCACTTCCACCTTCATATCGGTCACTCATGACAACTGATGATTCAAGGATTCTTGATTTCTATGTTGATGGTATGTCCCATTCTAAGCTATCTAATAGATAAATTTTGTGACTTAATATCATTATGAACACTATTGATTATATACATATGTTGTTGTTTATACTCAGATTTTGATGTCGACACAGATGGAAAAAGATTTATTTGGCAGGTTAGGGGATATGATTATTGTTCCAAACGCCTATGGATCCCTTCAACAACCATGTTTAATATGCCTATAATTTTCTTATGTTTCAAAAATATCTCTTTTGTAGGGTATCTGCAAGTTTCCTTTTATTGATGAAGAGCGCCTTCTTGATTCAACAAAAATGATTAAGAAGGAACTGACTGTACGTAAGGCTGAATTATATACAGGACTTTCAAACATTTGACAAGGAATCTAATTAACATGGTCTTTTATCTTCAGGAGGAGGAAGCTAAAAGAAATCCTGAGAATGTCGACAAGTAGTTCCTACACATTTTAGAAAATCTTGCCTTGCGGATTATCACTTCCTTTAACAATGAAGGCTCCATCGAGCAAAATACATGCTTAAGGTTGTGTTCTCCATTGTTATAATGCAGTGATTATTCTTTTTCCTAATGTAAATATTTTCTTCTCTTGTTTCAATTTCAGTGGAGAATTAATATCAAAATAGTAGGCGGTAGGCTAATCGCATCCACCCTAGTCCAAGTATCTTTTCCACACACACACACACACCCTAAACTTTAAAGATGACTAGAATTAATATTTCATGTAGATGACTTTTTTTTTGTTAAATTGCCTTTTCTCAGGAAAGATCCCATCTCTCTAACGGATCAATGGATGACCACAATCGTGGTTCGGGGCAGGTTGTGCTTTTTACTTGTTTTTTTGGAAAGTTGATTACCCTTTCTATTTTTTCATTAATTTTCTGCTTTTGTTTTCTGTTGCTTGCAGATGATGGATGGAACCCAGATCAATATAGATGTAACTGCACTTGGGGCTATAATTGCTTTGGGTCTAATGTACTTAAAGGTAACTCTTTGGCAGGAAGGATGACTATATATATTTGTTTATGATTTTATGTCAGCTCTGTTCTCAAGATTTACAACTTTGAAAAAATATTCTAATGACAGACTAAATTGCAAGCGATTCTATCCAGGCTTTGTATCCCATAAACACATTTCGAATAGCAATATGTGAGGCCCCACTTCATAATGCTCCATGTCATTTCCAGTAATTTAATAATGTGGAGCAGGTACTGCTATTTAAAATTCATATGCTACATTAATATTCATGCTGGCTATATGTAAAGAGTAAGAGATCTCTTTAAACACCTTGCATGTGTTTTTAGGATTCATCCATCAGAAGATTGGATTCAGGGTTAGATACCCAAAGTAGTCTTGAATGGCATCAAAGGATTCATCCATCAGAAGATTGTGAGTACATCTCATCAAGAGACTAGTGATTACTTTTCTGATGAATCAAGATGTATACATTGCACAAAATGTGACCTAATGCATATATGGAAGTTGAAAAGCTGCTGACTATGGCATACATTGTTGGCCTCCTTGGAATTGTAAAGCTGCTAACTGTGGCATAGACTGCTGAACACTTAGACTTTGAAAAGCTGACTGGTGGCCACATGGAAGTTGAAAAGCTGATTGTGGCAACTACTGCTGCTGCTGGACACCTGGAAGTTGAGAAGCTGATTGTGGCATAGATTGGTGTCCACCTAGAAGTTGAAAAGCTAACTGTGGCATAGGTTGCTGCTGCTGGACACCTTGAGGTGGAAAAGCTAACTGTGGCATAGGCTGCTTCTGCTGAAAGACTAGATGCTTGACCATTTTGAGAAGGAAAAACAGTTTGCGAGGGTCCAGGTGGAGGCAATATATCAGCTAAAAATGTCAACAGTTGAATCAAAATCAAAAGTATCCCCAAATCCCCCTGACCCTGACAATGGGTCAACTAAAAATGATGGTGGTTCAGCAACAGTTGTAGTGAAGGGTGATGTTAGTGGTTAAGCCGAAAATCCATCAGTAGAAGGAACAGCTTTGAAAGGGCCATCACCAAACGGATCATCAAATGCCTGCAATCAATGCATAAAGAGTGTAAATTTACAACATAAACAAACTATCAATATGTGTGTGTAGAATCCAACTTTTAAGACACTCACGCACCCGACTGGTCGATGAGGTATCGAAGGTGAGATAAGGATTAGTATTTGCTGGAGGATGAACTTCAGTGGTTATAGATGAAGTAGATGTTACAACAGCCAAAGCATTTGAAGAAGAGAAAGACTCTGATAGAGAACCAAACAAATCCTCCATCTCTCCACCACCTGATCCTTGCAGGGCAAACGCAAGGGCAGGAGCAGGAACAACACCACGGGGATCAAAAAAGTCAAACCCATCGTTTTCATTGTTGACTGTCACTGCAGGTGGTGGCGGCGTAGTGGTAACTGGAGGTGGTGTGGCGGCGGCAGCTGGTGGTGGTGGAGCAGTTGCTGCCGGAATTTCTTGATGGTTAATGTTCACCAGTCCTTAAAATGCTTACAAGTTAGACTAGATTCCATTACTTTATATATATATATATATATATATATATATATATATATTACAATTTACAAGTAAATAAATCTTTTGACTTATTAATTAATTAATTTACCTCTTGGTATCAACAGGGCTATGACCGTCACTCACAGCATCTTCATAACTAGGAGGCCCACCAACATTTTGTCCAGATGACCTTGGTTCAAGCCCCCTGCCCTCACCACTAAAAAAGAAAATTTTAGTTCAATGTATTGTATATATATATATATATATATATATATATATATATATATAACGAGGGTATTGGTTCTCTTAATGATTCTAAAAAAGATGATGACATGACACCAATTAAAGCCGTTATTGCACCATTAGAGGCTGAGATCAAACTTGCTTGATAATAGGTATGTGATACAAAATAATTTTAGAAACCATAAAACTCTCATGCTTCCTTTGGGGTTTTGGTTCTCTTAATGATTGTACTGGAATGTTTGTGTGATTGATATGCAGGTGTTACTCTTGGGGCAAGTTTATATGGAGAAAAATGTGCATCAAGTTCAGCTGATGGGATCGAGAATCAGGTGGATGGTAGTTTATACTTTATTATTATTATTATTATTATTATTATTATTATTATTATTATTACTATTATTATTATTATTATTATTATTATAATTATTTGGAATAAGGGAAGGAAATGAAAAGATCCCCTGTGATGAGTTTAATGGGTTGATGAATTTGCTCCTCTGAATGAGAGTGATTTCTTGTTCCTAAAAACTTATGATACTTTTTGCGGACAAAAATGCCCCTGTGTGCCTAATATTAGAGCCAAGTTGTTAGTCCTTCAAATCACGAGTACATGAATTCCATCCAGCTATATATATATATATATATATATATATATATATATATATATATATATATATATATATATATATATTTCTCCTGATAGGATTAGCCTTTGTTTGTTTCAATTGGTGGGTCAAACAATACAAGAAATCTTTACAATCACAAAGGATGTCAAAGAAGGTAGGACCAGAAATTCATACATGATGGAATTAACTTTCCCTCACATAAGTTTGGCTATACAAAGGTCTATCATTTAGTAATAAAGGCACAAGTAACAGAATATGGAATTAAGAATCATATTGCGGAAGCAAGTGAAGCATTGTCTGAAAGTTGTATGTATTATCTGATTTTTGACTTAATCCTTTGAATCAACTAAAAGTCCAAATCAATTGATAAATTTATCAAAACTAACCACAGCATAGACTTTTCTGTTTATTTATCTATATCATGAGTGCATGTGGTTGTTTGTTGATTGGGAGATTTGTATTGAAATGGTTTTTTAGGTCAAACCGAAATATGATGAGAAGGATAAGGGGTGTCCTCGAATGAATGAACAAATATCTGCTCAGTATGTTAGAATTTTCACAGTTGAAGGTATGTCTACTACTTATTCATGTACTTCATACAACTTTCAGAAAGATTCTCTCCCTCATTTACCGTACATTTCATTTGATGCCTACTACTGCACTTTTAATATAAGGGTAAAAAAAGGTTTATAAATCTCTTGTAGAGTTGTATTTTATGAGGAAAGATTCAAGAATGAAGAAAAGTAAGTAATCTTATGATATTGTGATTGTCCCTTTTTCTGGATCAGGTTTAATTTGGATTTCAAGCTCACTAGCATCTCCAAGTAATGAGGGATCCGTTACACTTAAGAATATCAGCTTATCAAGAGCATCACTTGCATTACTAAAAGAAGGTTTCTTGTTAGAACTTTTGTTTTTAAAAACGATAAAAGATGGAAATCAAGCATGAAACATGTAGACTGTAGAGATGTTTTTACATGTAAATTTATATATTGTAAGAAATAGAATTGTAAGACATTAAATTTTATGAAATGGATTATATTTTTTGTATATGATATTTTATTTTATATTGTGAGGCATTAAATGCAAATTTAATTTGAAAATTAGTAAATCTATAAAAAATATTTTTTTTTAACATTTAAAATTATGATATGCAAACATGCGTGTCATCTTCATTTATGACATGGCTTTTCTTGACAGGGGCTTCCTTGATACGCATTATGGGTCATAAACACGCGCGTCGTAAGGTTACGACACGCAAGTGCGTGTCGTCTTCCTTTATGACAAGGCCTTCCTTGATACGCATTGCATGTCGTAACCGCGCGTCGTAGATGCGCGTCATAAATGCGCGTCGTCTCTCTTTATGACAGGGCCTTCCTTGACACGCATTTGCGCGTCGTCTGAGCGTTTTACGACGCGCAATGAGCGTCGTGAAAGGCCTTTTTTCTAGTAGTGGAGGTGCTTGTTTCAATCCATATATGGATTTTTCAAGCTTACACACCCTATTAGGGTATTCTGTACTTACAAAACCCTCTGGCTGAACCATGTAAACATCCTCAGCCAACTTTCCATTAAGGAAAGCAGTTTTGACTTCCATTTGCCATATTTCATAGTCATGAAATGCAGAAATGGCTAACAGAACCCTAATAGACTTAATCATGGCCACTGGTGCAAAGGTCTCATCATAGTCAACTCCCAGAGTTTGAGAATAACCCTTTGCAACCAGTCGTGCCATGTCGGTCTTCTTCTTGAAGATCCATTTTCACCCTACTGTCTTACGACCTAGTACATTGTCAACCAAGTTCCAAACTTTATTGTCATACATGGATTGTATCTAGATATCCATAGCCTCTTTCCATTTAGCAGACTCAGGGCCTGTCATGGCCTCCGTGTAGCTGTTAGGCTCTTCCAAATTTATCAGTGTATTATCATTGATAAGGGTATCACCTTCTGCAGTAATATGGAAACCATAATAATGCTCAGGTGCATTCCTAACTCTGGTGGAACGCCTCAAAGGTATGGACTCTTCAGTCGGCTCAACAGGAGTTTCATCCTCAGTTTGAGGGCTAGGGTTTGAGGTTCCTTCACCACTTGACTCTTGAATTTCTTCAAGGTCAACTTGCCTCCCACTGTCTCCTTGGCTTATGAGTTCTCTCTCGAGAAAGACTCATCTTCTTGCTACAAAGACCGCATTATCACTGGGTCTGTAGAAGATATAACCAAAAGATTTATGTGGGTAGCCGATGAAAATACACCTCTCACTTCAAGGTTCGAGCTTGCTGTGAGTCTTGCGTCTCACGAAAGTCTTACCACCCGAAACCTTGATGTGGTCTAGATTTGGAACTTTTCCAGTCCACATCTTGTGAGGTGTTTTGGCAACCACTTTTGTAGGGACTAGGTTAAGGATATGGGCGGCAGTCTCTAAGGCATACCCCCAAAATGAGATTAGTAGCGAAGCTCGACCCTCATGGAACGAACCATATCCAACAAGGTTCGATTGCGCCTCTGAGCTACACCATTCAACTGTGGTGTTCTGGGAGGTGTCAATTATGAGACTATCCCACATTCCTTAAGATAGTCAAGGAACTCGGTACTAAGATACTCACCACCTCGATCGGATCGAAGCATCTTAATGTTCCTGCCCAACTGATTCTCCACTTCTTTCTTAAACTCTTTCAATTTTTCAAAGGTTTCCGACTTATGTTTGATTAAGTAGACCTATCCATATCTACTAAAATCATCAATAAAAGTCACATAAAAGCGATTAGCATCTCTAGTGACGGTTCTGAAGGGTCCACGCAAATCTGTGTGTATGAGATCCAACAAACCTTCACCCCTAGCACAAGTGCCAGTAAAAGGTGACTTTGTCATTTTTCCAAGTAGACAAGATTCATAACTATCATCCGACTTTAGGTCGAATGATTCCAAGACTCCATCCTTTTGGAGTTGGCCTATGCGTTTCTTGCTTATATGTCCAAGACGACAATGCCATAAAGATGCTTTATCTAAACTACTGAAAGAATCGATACACAATACGTTATTTCCTAAGTTATCTACAACAGATACAATTTCATACACTCCATCACATGGTAATGCTTTATAATAAAGAACGCTATTATAGAAATCATCAATACCACCACTTTTGTTATCAATATAAAAGGTGAACCCTTGTTTATACAATGCATGAAAGGAGATAACATTTCTTGCCATTTCTAGCGAATAACAACATTTATTCAAGTCTAATGTAAACCTACTATCTAGTAACAAGGAATAAACTCCAATCTTGGTAACAGGTGAAACTTTCCTATTCGCCATGATTAGGTTTATCTTTCCATGCCCCAAATCCTCACTTCTTCTTAGTCCCTACAGATCAGAACATATGTGAATTCCACAACCTGTATCAAGGACCCAAGACTTAGAATGAGGTGAGTTATTAGAAAATATAGTGTATATACCTGCATGGTTGGGTTTTACTTTCCCATCCTTCAAATCTTTGCTGGTACTTTGGGCAGTTTCGCTTCCAGTGCGACTTTTCATGGCAATAGAAGCATTCAGCCTCGTTAGGGTTAGCAGAAGGAGTGATGAAACCTTTCTTGGTTTTTCTTGAAGAGGAGCCTTCAAGGGTCTTACCCTTGGTACCCTTAGAAGGGTTCTTTCTCTTCTTACCTTTGTCATGCCCGATTGCGAAGACATTGGCCGTAGTAGGAGTAGGAGGAGTAGTAACACCCAACTTACCCTTAAGACTACTTTTTGCAGTGTTTAAGAGTCCTTGAAGTTTACTAAGTGTAACTTCTTCCTTATTCACGTGATATGTCATTCTAAATTGATCATAACATGAAGGTAAGGAGTGCAAAATGATATTTATTGCTAACTCCTCAGGAAAGTCAACATTCAGTTTCTTCAAGCGATCCATAAACCTTTGCATTTTCTATAAGTGGGTTGTGAGGGACTCATTGTCCTTCATTTGGGTGGTTATCATGGAGGAGATTATTTCATACCTCTCTTGATGAGCACTTTGATGGTATCGCTCCATCAAGTCCATGTGCATCTCAAAAGGGTAATAGTCCTCATAGGACTTTTGGAGCTCAGCTATCATTGTGGCGGTCATGATACATGCTACTTTGGTAACATCCCTTTCATGTGCTTGCAATGCAGCAATCTCCTCTGGGGTAGCAGTTGACTCATCAATCTCCTTCAGCCCCCTATCAAGGACATATTCTTTATCCTCATAGCGAGTGACCATCCTGATGTTTTTGATCCAATCCATAAAATTGGATCCATCAAATATGACTCTCCCACAAAGGTTCATGAGAGAGAAGGAGCCAGTCACTACTAGAAAAACAGCCTTTTACGACGCTCATTGCGCGTCGTAAAAGGCTCAGACGACGCGCAAATGCGCGTCAAGGAAGGCCCTGTCATAAAGAGAGACAACGCGCTTTTGCGCGTCGTCTACAGACGACGCGTATTCACGACGCTCATTTACGACGCGCATTTACGACACGCATTTACGACACGCGTTTACGACACGCAATGCGTATCAAAGAAGGCCCTGTCATAAACTTAGACGACACGCGTTTGCGTGTCGTAACCTTACAACGCGCGTGTTAATGACACGCAATGCGTATCAAAAAAAGTCCCTGTCAAGAAAGGCCATATCATAAATGAAGATGACACACATTTTTGCGTATCATAATTTTAAATGTTTAAAAATATATATTTTTTATAGATTTACTAATTTTCAAATTAATTTTGCATTTAATGTCTCATAATAGAAAATAAAATATCATATACAAACAATATAATCCATTTCATAAAATTTAATGTCATACAAAATATCATATACAAAAAAATATCCATTGAATAATATTTTATTACAAATTTGACATTTTTGTGTTTCCGTACTTTGACAATTTTCCGGAGCCAATTCGCGACTGCATTCCAGAGCTGATTCAATTTGTGTTGTTGCTGATTCCGGAGCCAATAATGTTCAATAAGAAGCCTAAATAATACTTATAGGAAAATTTTATAACAACCAAGACTTACAAAGAACACCATGAGTTGTTATTCGTCTTTTGGGGTCTTTAATAAGCATTTTCCTAACCAAATCTTTAGCACTTTCAGAGATACTAGGTCGTGGATCTTAGGAAAAGTCGAGTTTACCCCTCAAAACCTCTTCAAAGATCTCATTTTCAGATTCTATCATGAAGAAAAAAAGAACATAAATTCAGTCATGGTTATCCAGCTTCATAATGATATCATGCCAAAATATAGAAGGGAGAATACCCACGAAAGAAAACATATTGACCAGTCAAATTGTCAACATTTCCCCTTCGCTGCAGCAGAACCAACTGTGGGAGAATAGCAACAGCTTCCAAATAGATAGAAAATGCCCAACATATCTGCACATTCCTAATAATATTAAAACTATAATCACAAAATAAAAAGATTTAACTTGAGTGGAAAATCCTAATGCTTACTCATTAAATAGACCATGAACATCAAGATCATTTCCCCCTAGCTTTAGGCCAGTGTTGTACCTTCCAACCACATGCTCCTTAGCTGCAACAACAAACTTCAAATTTTCAAAAACAACTTTACTGCATAAACTAGGAAAAAGATGAATTATAACCATATCAATAATATATCTTTTCTTGGTTATCTTTATCATTTATAATATTGATAATTCTTGACAACTTAGTAATTGAAAAGATCTTTCCTCTTAGTTGTTGTAACTTTTGGAGCTTCACTTAATGTGTTGTGAATACATGGTACTCTCTAATCATATAACCTAAAATACCCTTTGCATAATTTCTAATATTGTTCTTTATTTAGTTTTCAAGGTGCGATTAACAGGGGAGCAATCTCAGCAAACCCAATTTACTTTAATCTGAATATAAATTAATCAAACAATGTAACTTTGTCAATCCATGGAAGTAACTTCATATTCAAGTGGGAGAGGTAAACCAACAATCAGATCGGAAAATGATCGGATTTCTAGACTAAAATCCTTAGGAAATTGTATCAAATATTTTAACAATTTGTATCAAATATTTTAACAATGAAGTTAGAGAAAAGGTTTTAATTATGAAAACTATGGTGAAGAGCGAAACACAGAAGATAACTTGACAAGAGGAAACACTCAAATATAGAAGCCAAGGAGAAAAATATACCTGCAATGGTAAAGACACAGTATTGAAGGTCGATTTCTAGGGGTTGTACTTGAGACAATTGTGATGCCAGGAGACAGCATAAATACTAGAAATAAGAAGGGAATTGAGCACTTACATTAGGGTCTGATGTCGAGCAGAAATTACAATCATACCCCTTAACAAGGTGTGGTGAATGCACGTGACTTCACATGTGATCATCGTGCCTCCACCGGTGAATCAAAGTTGTATCCGAGCATATAATTCCTGGTGTGCATTTGTATAATCAGAAACTTCATATATAGTATTGATGACTTACTCTATATGTCTAGATTATATTCAACTCAGGAGAATAATGGCAAAATGATTATGGAACTCAAGTATATGATTTGCAATAAATTGTAAGACTTCCATATGAAATATATCCATGCCATGATTTCAACTGGAAAATCAGGATTGAAATAATCAGTCGACTACACATGATGACACGATAAAGAAAGTACCTGGTAAATGATGGGATTCACTGCAAGAAACAAATAGCATAAGCTCTGCATTGAAGTAAACAGATCATAGAATGCTCACCTCCTACAAGTAAACCAAAGGAAATGTTCATAACAAGATACCTAAACACACACACACACACTCAATCACTAAAAGACCAGACAAATAAGAAATGGCAAAAATGGAACACAAAAATTGTATCATAGTTTTTTAGGGGAGGCAAACTAAAAAGAGCGCCCCAGATTTGGAAATTATGTTAACTTTAGAAATAGAAAGTACAATAAAATCCCAATCTTAATAATATAAGTAACAGAAAAATCAAAGGAATCATGGAGATCTAATAAGTAGCTTAACTTTTGATGATGGTTCACCAGGGTGATGAGTCAACTGGTGGCTCGATTCAGGTAGGTTTGAGTTTGCCCAAAAGATTGCCAGGTCAAACCATCTAACAAACATCAGGATGTTCATGCAAAACCTATAAGACTGATTAACAAGAGACATTTTCCCTAGTGACAAATATAGACTCCAAAGTCTTACTTATTATATGTGTATTATGATTGGAGACATATTGAAAATCTTGTTTAGATGGAAATTTGAAGAAAGAGGTATTTATATCCATCACATAATATAACAAGATACAAACCAATAAAATAATTGTAAGGCTGAAAGAACTATGTTTGAATTCTTACAGAAGATGGTCAAACTTACCGGCTACAATCAAAGTCAAACAAATCTCGCCATGTTTCTTTGAGGCATTACAACGAGTTCTTGAATAAGATATTTCTTCGAGGCATTTCTACAAATAGGTTATTGGCAGGTGACAAAATGTCATTTGTATGAACATATGTCACCTCTCGCCCTCCCCAGTTCAACAGTTTGAACCTCCATATGTCACCCGACGCGTTGTCTTGAGAGAAAAGTAGCAACAAAATCGAAGAGAAAGAAAAGAATTAGACGAACTCGGTATAGAAATAAAAATCAAACCTTGAAAAGCATAAGACATGGCGACTGGAGCTCTTAATAGAGGGTGACTCGACAAAAGGAAGTAGAGGCAGCGAGGCACATTGCATCAGCGCTTCGAAGCAAGCAGTAGGTGGCAAGAAGTTTTGGGGGAAACGTCGACGCCAAGAAAGAAAACCCACCGAGAAGTCTCCTGCCTCTTCTTGAGGCGACGGCTTCTTTTTCTTCTGATTTTCTGGCCAGGCGAAGTAATAGGGCAAAACCAAACTCGTATTAAGAGGTGAGTCGGCTATTTGAGGGAAAAGAGAGATGAGTTGGCTATTTGAGGCGGGAAAGGGGAATCAGGTGGAGAATGGAGCTCTATAGGTGACTCGACAAAGGGAAGCAAAGGCACGTTGCATCGGCGCTTCAAATATGTAGGCGGATGACCGAGAATTGCAACTCTACTGTTGCCTTTATCGACGGATGACCGGGAATTGCAAGTCACGATAGTCGAAGTGAGAGGGAAGAAGTAGGCGGCGTCCATAATTTGGGTAAGAGGGAAAGGAGAAAAAAAAGGAAGGCGGGGTTTTTAATTTTTTCAGAATTTCATTTCCCCCTACTATTAAAGGATGGAACGCGCGTTCCATTAAAAATTATAAAGCAACATCCTTAGACGACGCGCATTTTATTATAGGTGCCCTCCGTGTTTTTTCTTTTTTTTGTTTAGACACTAATTTAAGGGCACGCAATAATACGTGTCCTCTATTGTTAAATTTTTTGAAGAGATGATACTTTTTTAATGTCACTCTCTTTTGCGTAACATAAATCAACGAGTGTCGTGGTTTGCGCGTCGTAAAAGGGTCTTTTTCTTGTAGTGAGTAGGGTTTAAGCCAGAAGCATTGTTATTGGAAGACATCTGAAATGAAAGAATAAGTTTAGATTAGATTTCAGGATAGTCCTTAATAAAGCACCGAGATGCTATATTAAGTCTAGGACCCAACACAATATTTTATAACTTAGAAGAGGGATGTCGTAATCCAAGCTATAAAATATTTGAAGGTAGGTGAATGATGATTCACCAATTTCCACCATAAAACGAAATAAATCTTTTTAGGTTTTAATTGGTTTAGAAATTCCTAGGTTCTTTGAGATTCATTGAAATTTTCAATGGCATGTTTCAATCTCGAGTGTACCCTTCATGTTTTGTGATTGGGATGCCGAGGATCACAAAACAAGGTGTGAAGTAACCATGCAAATTACTTGGTACACTTAATGTATTACCCCTCAATCGAAGTGCCGGTTAACCACACACGCTCCAACAATACTATGATAAACATTAAGCCACCGTTTGCCTACCTTGATAAGTCTAAGTTAGTGTGCCAGTTAACCACACACGCTCCACTAACGACTTAATCAAAGTGCAAAGTCTAACATCATGGATTAGCACCTTATTCACATTTTCCAAAAGTAACTAAGATTGGGAATTAATAAAAGTTTAGTTACTTTAGTATATTCATAATACTTACTATGAGAATTATAGTCATTGTTCTACCTTTTCGGCTAACGACCCTCCACCGATCAAGCAAGCAGTGGGTGTGAGTGTACACCCATTAAGCGCCATTTTATAGGCAGCAACCTTATACCCACCTTATAGACTGGCTTCGTGAATGAGGCATACTAACGGTAAGCCTAGCACTTTTAAAGCATACATACATACATATATATATATATATATATATATATATATATATATATATATATACATATATTAAGCTTGTAATAATATAATAGTATAGTGTTGAATTTTAAACTTGTAAAATTCTAGGGTTTGAAATTTAAATTATTCAAATTGAACTTTTAATCACAAAACTTAAATTTCAAAACTTGAGGACAAGTTTTAAACTTTTCAAAACATAATGATCAAATAGCAAACAATACAAATCAACTAATTAGATTATTTAAATTTGATCTAATCAATATTACTTGCAAGACAATCCACATTTTAATTCAAATAATCAATTATTATCATATAAGGAAATTATTATTCAATTAAATGGTAATTATCTTTTGTTTGGTCAAGAATATACTCCAATATATCATAAAATTCGAATTTTAATGACCCTAAACAATGAAGGCAAGTATCCTCAAGCAAAACAACAAGAAATCTCGGTATTGACTCTTTCTGGCGCTAGAACTCGCCGAGTTCCTCTATGAACTCGCCGAGTTGGAGCTACTCGCCGAGTCCACATTGGAACTCGCCGAGTTCACCAGTCAGAAGCATAAAAATCGAATTTTTCAAGCAACAAGCAATTAACCAAAGCATCAATTCAATTGAAATCAATCAAAGCTCTGATACCACTGATGGGTTTGAGCCATAAGAACTTTCCTATGTGCACCTGCAAACCCTAATGCTTGGATCTAGGTTTCTCTAATTGAACATGCAATGTATCCAAGGCTTAATATTCTAGATCTAGTGTAAACAATTGAATCGTATCATATGAAATCAGATCTAAAAGAATATCTTGAGTTGTTTGCTTGAAACTTCTTGTTCTTGGAGCTTAGAGTCACAATTATCACTCCTCTAATGGCTTACAAACACCAACTAGCAAGAGGATGATCTTGAGAGAGAGAGAGAGAGAGAGGAGGTGAGAAATCGGCTCTAGGGTTCTTTCTTGTAAGAGTATCGCCGATTTCCCTCACCCAAGGGGTCTATTTATACTATGAGATACTAGGGTTACACCCTTAACCCTAATTGAATAACTTAGGCCCTAAGCAATCCAAAGATCCTCCTAGATATGAGGCTTGGACGATTTTAAGGTATCCTAACCATAAAATCCATCCACCCTAATATCCATAAGGATACATAGCCCAAAGCACAACTATCATACATTTGACAGTTTATGCCCCTTTATTCAATTAACCTCTTTAAGTCACCAAATTAATTCTCAATTAATATATGATTTATATCAATCAAATAACATTATTATTCCTTTAATATATTACTCTCATAATATATTAACAATAATATATCTTCTCTCTTTACAAATCATCCTGTCAAGTTGCTATGGTGAAGGCAACCCAAAAGGACCATGCACAACCGGGTCAAGTACTTACCAAATATAGTTATAGCCTTAGACACTAATCCAACAATTACTATGATCGATGATCTGTGAGATAGTCATACCTGATATTTGTACATGTACGGGTTGATGTGCTTATTGATCTGATTAGATCGGCGTCCTAGTAGATAGGACATTATTATGTTAGCGACCTGGGTTAGGTCAGTGTCCTGGTATATATGATGATGTTATGTTAGTGACCGGTTAGGTCGGTATCCTGGTTAGGATGTTGCTATGCCTTATGATTTTCTAGATCGATTGATTTGTCTATGCATTGTTATGTGATCACCTGTTATATTGCACATGGTTATTGGCTTGTTGTTGGGTTGAGGCGGTCCTACTTTGTGCTAAAGGCCAATATACCCTATGAGCGGTCCGGGAAGACTGTAGGCCCACATGGCGGACCAGTCATGCCGAAGGCTTGGGATAGATTTAGACAGACTGTAGGCCCAGCAGGGTGGTTCAGTCAGACCAATGGCCCAGTATGCATGTTGATCGATTGATTATTACTGTTATGGTATTGTCAGTGTGGTGTTGGTATTTTGGGGGTAGCTCACTAAGCCCTCAGGCTTACAATTTTCAGTTTACTGTTTCAGGTGCTTTAGGAAATCGTGGAAAGGCAAAGGCGTGACTGTATCGCTCCTCATCCTTATGTTATGATTTTTGGGACACTCTGATGGAAAATGATTAGAAAACATTTTGTAAACAATGGTATGTGGTTTTTATTTATGATTGAAAAAGCTTAAATTTGGTGTGAATTTTATGGATGTTACATATAGTTATGGACTTAGACACTATATCCAACATGTTGGGTGTCGTGTTCCCAAGGAATTTGGCTATTGACTTGGTTCTTCAGTCACTTCCCAAGACATATAGAGAGTTCATTAAAGACTACAATGTGACAGATCACGACATGAACCTTACTAATCTTAGCTATTTGCTAATTGCTGCTGAATCAGCAATGATTTGGCACAATGGTCAAGCAAATTTGGATGGAAGATCTACATCCCAAGCTAACATGTACATTCTAGAAATGATCCCTTCTCCTAAAGGAAAGGAATTGTCCATGGTCAAAAGTTTTGATCATAAGAGAAAGGCCAATTCTAAGACCGTTCCATGTGCCATTCCAAATAAGTCTGTGTGTTTCTATTGCCAAGGAAAGGGACATTAGAAGCGAAGCTGCCCTGACTACCTGAGAACTTTAATCAAATTGTATGGTTCTACTTCAGGTACAGTCTACTATCTACCTCTATTAAATTCCTAATTGTTGATTCTTAATACATAATATGATAAGTTTTGCATTTTGATGTTTTGTAGGATCATGCAAAAGGAAGGAAGCTTAAAAGTAAGAGTATGCTAAATCTGATCGCGAATAGATGGATTTTGATCATATGGTTCGAAGATCAGATTTTTGAGCTGCTGCTTAGGAGTTATGATAGGTTGCTTAGAAATATGTAGTAACTGTTGGATAAGGTGTCTAAGCCCATAACTTATTTGGTATATACTTGACCCGACCCGGCATGGTCCATTTGGGTTGCACTTCACCCGAACTATTTATGGATAATTTTATGAGAGTTATACACATATGTTTATTAATATATTATAAGTTATAATATATTAATATGAAGTCATGTTATTTAATTATTCTTAGTCTTAAATTAAGTATGAATTAATTTAGAGATTAAAAGGAAGACTAATTAGATTGTGGGCTATTGGTTTTATCTGGTGTGGGCTAACACTCATTTGTTAATGGGCTAGGCTTATATGGAAGTCCATGGATGATCCATGGAGCTTTTAACCCATGGATCCTTGGAAAAGGAAAGGTCATGGGTTATTAGGGTTTCACCCTAACCATGCACACTATATAAGCATGCTTATGTTGCATGAAATAGCCACTAGTGTGTGTGCTTGTGTGTTGCCGAAAATACAAGTGTGTACAGACTCTCTCTAAAGTTTTCCAAGTGTTTGTGGTGATTTGTGATTTCCATTTGAGGCATTCACACTATTGGTGCTTGGCTCTCAAACTCCAAGGAATCAATCTCATCAAAAGGTATGTAATCTCATCTAACTCTTTTATGTTTAAAAGTTCCCCATGCCATGTTAGATAGGTTATGAACCTTGGAAAATTATTATTTTTCGTGTATTTAGACAAACATAGATCCAAGGTTTATTAGGGTTGCGTGCACACTTAGGAAGTGTTAGATTGCTCAAAACCCAACAGTGGTATCAGAGCCTAGGCTTGCTTATTTGATACTTGATTCAAAATAGTGAAAAAAGTTGAAATTGTTATTGTCTGGCTGATGGACTTGCCGAGTCCATGGGGGGGACTCGCCGAGTACAAGGAAAAATTCATCCTACTCGGCGAGTAGGTTCGTGCGCTCGGCGAGTAGAATGATCAGAATGCAGAATTTCGACTTTTGCTGCT